AAGCGCTGGCCGCACACGTCGCATGGGTAGGGCTTCTCGCCCGTGTGCGTGCGCCGGTGCCGCTTCATGTTGGGCCGGCTGGTGAAACTCTTGCCGCAGATCTCACAGATGTACGGCTTCTCCCCTGGGGGGTGGGCGGGGCAGCAGGGCGTCACCCGGGATCGCCACACCCCAGCCCAGGGCCAGCCTCCCTGCCCCAGGGACCCACGGCGGGGTTCAGCCCTGGTGCTCACAGATCCTCCCGCCCTGGGCCATTTTGCGCCAGCCTCACCCAACCCCGGGGGAAAGGGAGGATGGCGCTGAGCCTCCTACAGGAGGGTAAACTGAGGCCCAGAGACGAGAAGGGGGGTGGCTAAGACCATCCCAGGCCCTCGGAGCAGGGCTGAGAAGGGGGCCCCAGGTCTGGCATGGAGCCCCTCCCCCCGGGTGCAGCCGCACCTGTGTGGGTCTTCATGTGCTCATCGAAGTACTGCTTCATGTTGAAGTCCTTGCCGCACCACTGGCACATGAACTGCTTGTGGCCAATGTGGATGCTCATGTGTGACCGCAGCTGGTACTTGTACTGGAAGCGCTCATTGCAGTTCTGGAGGGGGGATGGGGGGGTAAGGCCCTTGGGTCGGGGCGGCTCTCCCCTGGCCACAAGGCGGAGGATGGACACATGGGGAGGGGCTGCCAGGCAAGGAGGTGGGGCGGGCAGTGCATGGGCACAGGAGAGGCCACCAGCAAAAAGGGCCCAGGCAGGGAATGGAGGCAGGAAGTGGGAAAAGGGAGCCCTCACGCTTAAAGCCTGGGGCCCCCTCTCACCCTTCTTCTGCATGGGAAGGGCCCCTCACCCCCACACCTGCAGCTCTGCTGTCTCCATCTCTGATCTCTCTGCCTGGGATACTCCTCCATGCACCCCTCCAGGAAGGAGGTGGGACAGAGAACGGTAGGGGCCACAGACATCAGAGGGTGGACCTCTCTTCCTGGGTCCTGCATTCCACTCCCCCACCCCTCTGGTTTTAAGCAGCTGCTGCCCCTGATCCCTGCCCCTCCCAAGTGGCCCCTCGGACACTCCAGGTAGGAGATGGGAGCTCACCTCACATCTGAAGGGCTTCTCCCCGGAGTGCTGCAGTGAGTGCACCTTGAGGGACATGCTGCGCTTGAAGGACTTCCCGCAGGTCTCGCAGGTGAAGGGCATGTCCTTGGTGTGGGCTACGAGGTGGACACCACGTCTGTCTTGGGAAACTGCCCGAGCACCACCACATGGGGCCAGACCCGCCTCCTTCGGCAGCTCTGTGCTGCCACCCTTCCCTGGGGCCGGCCTTTCACTGTCCCAGGACCTGGGCTGATTCCCAGGAGAGGCCCTCACCTCCCTCCAGGACTGGGTCTCCCCTGCTACTGAGAAGGTTGGTTCAGACAAACATGAGGCCCGTGTAGTTCTTTAGCCTCTAAAGAAGGCTGTCAAGGGAAACAGCCAAGGCTGCCTTGCCGCCACAGCTTTGGAGAAAGACGGGAGGATCCTGGGTAGAACTGGCCTCCTCTCAAATCCTGACCCAACCCTTGGCTTCCCACTCAGTCTCTCTATAAAAAGGAACTAATCGTGATACTGAGCTTCAAGGACAGTGGGCTTCATAGGGGATGACATGCATGAAGACCCCAGCCTCAGCCCCAAACAGCAGTCCAGAAGAAGTTAGCTGCACTCCCCCCCAGAACCCACAGATAGGTGCAGCCCAAGAAATTTCAAGGATCTGGGAGGAGGCAATTGAAGACAGAGAGCCCCCCTCACATCCCCCGAGCTCACAGTCCACAGGTCTCAGTTTACCCAGCATGCTCCTGGCCGAAACCCAGATCATGGGGTCCCAGCTCCCAGTTAGCTCACACTGATGGGCTCCTGGCCTCCAGTGGAAAAAGGAAAGAGGCAAGACCAGGGACCAACTGTCTGCCCTGGCTGTACCGCCCTCAAGCCCCAGGCCCAGAGCAGACAAGAAAGAAAGGACGATAGAGACATGAGACACCCTGCCAGGTCCACATCTAGAGGGGGCAGGTAGCCTTGTCCAAGGCAGTGGGGTGGCTACCACACACTTGAGGGGCCTCCTTACTGTGTCCAGGTGTGACACCCAAGGGGAGGTTGCACTCAGAGAAGGCTGAAGCCCTGTGAGGGCCAGAAGGCAAGAAAGAATCAGAGGCACAGCTGCCATCAAACCAAGACAGGGCCTGTGCCAGCCCACACAACACTTGGCGTAATTTAGGGAAAGGCACTCCTTTCCCTAAGTGGACACAAGCCCATGCCAGGACACACACCCTGGGGAGCTGTGTGCCAACTCAGATACAGTTCCCACCTGCCATCTTGTCCAGGATCCCCCATGCAATGTGCAATCTGCCCAACTGTGCTGGGCAGCCCTGGCCTCAGAGCTTATCCAGGCCACATTGGCCACTGTACCCAGCCTCCCCAGGCCTCCCAGCTGAGAGGCTCCTTCTCACCCCTTCACACTGCCCTGGATGTGAAGTCCTTCCCATCCACCTGGATGGAAAGTCCTGCCCAGCACAGCCAGCAGCTGGCCCATCTCTGTCCTTGGGCTCTGTCCCCACCGGCCCAGACTTACCAACCATGTGCTTGCGCACATGGGCCATAGTGTAGAACTTCTTCTCACAGATCTCGCATGAGAACTTTTTCTCCGCGTAGCCATGCACAATCTTGTTATGCTCATGGAGGGACCAGAGCTTCTTGAAAGCTTTGCCGCACGTCACACACTGCAGAGTGAGAAGACTTGAGGCCCTGGGTCCTGAGTCAGGACAGTGTGACCTTGAACAAGCCGCTGCCCCTCCCTGGCCTCAGTGTCCCCACTTGAAGTGTGCTGGAGAGAAGGCTCTTGATGTCCTAGGACCAACTGACTCTGCTCTTACTAGAGTTGGGATGGTAACTCCCTAAACACCCGCCCGCACACCCAGGGCTGAGAAGGGTCACCTCTTCCACGAAGTCCTCTCCTTCCACGCTCATCTGAAGAAGGCCTTTCAAAGACCCTGCCCTTTGTCCCTCTACAGAGAGGAGACAGACAACTGGCGGAAGGGCCACATCAGGTAGAGAGGCCACACATGCAGTTCCTGGAGAAGCCCCTCTCAGAGAATAGGTCCCAACAGAGCAGGCCATTGTCATTGCTGCCTCTCTCTGCTGGGAGCCTCCACGACACCATACAGATTCTCAAGGGGGCAGGTCCCCAAGGGGATGGCCGAGGAGGACTGCAGGAGGTCCCATCAGGCAACGGAGGGTGGTGGGGACCTTGGAGACCATACTCCCCACCCCCTGTTCTCCTGGACCCTTGTCCTGTCCATCCCTGCAGGACACTCCCAGAGGGTTGGAGGCTAGGCCAGGGCTTAGGTAGAAATCGGGTCAAAGTGCCCAGGTTGGATGAGGCACAAGCTTTTCCCCTTCAGGAGGGAGGCCTAGGTGTGTGGCAGGTGGAGAGTCAAAGGAAGCCCAGCGGGCAGGCAAGTGGGAACAGGTACACGAGGGTGGGGCGGGTTACCGGGTAACTCCCAGGTAACACTTTCTCCACAGGGCACTGCAATTAACAATTAGCGCAGGCAATTAGCACCCACCTACCTGCCACCTTTCCCCTTCCTCTGGGCCAGAAAAGGTAAAACCACCCGTGATAGCCTGGCTGGCCCTGTGCCGCCCCCACCCCGAGAAGCAAGGCTGGCACAAACACACCTAGGCCAGCCCAAGGCCTGGCAGCCAGCCCTGCTCTTCCCAAATTTCCCACCCAGCCCCCTGCTCAGGCCCACACAAGTTGGCATCTCCAAAGAGATGGACACAGCATCTCCAAAGAGATGGACACAGCATCTCTGGCGGGCTGCCCCTGCCCTATACAGCACCTTTATGGGAAGTGCAAAATGGTACCCCTGGGCAAACCTCTCCTCTGTGTGCACTTTTGCTGCAGTGCACAACCTGTGAAACTATACATGGCGGCCCCGCTAGCCTTCCCAAAGCCTAGGGATTTGTTAAAACATTGTCTGATTCATCCTCCCCAGAGCTGGTTGCCCACTGGCCTCCTCTGCTCAGACAACTCTCCGCTCTCATCCCCCCAAGTCCATGAGACCCCTTTGCCCCTCTGGCCAAGGGTACTGTTTGTTCCAATCTCTCTGCACACCTCTCCATGTGCCAAAGCCTAGCTCTGTCCACCTCTCTCAGGAAACTCTCCTTGATGTTATCCCCTGAATTCTCACCACCCTGAGATCCTAGGTCTGGGCTGGCCTGACCATCTGGGTGCCCAGAGCCAGTTCTGCCCTGCCCCGCCCTATCCCCGGGCCCACCTGGATGTTGCGCTCGCAGTCCGTCTGCCGATGCAGCAGCAACTCACTCTCCAGCAGGAAGCGCTTGCCACACTGGTCACAGATCTGCATGCGGCTGTGGGTCACGTTCATGTGTTTCTCCAGGTACCAGCGGTTGTTGAAAACTCGTGGGCACTTCTGGCATGGGTGGTGCTGCTTCTCCTCCAGTTTCACCTTCGCCCCCAGCCCGTCAGCAGCTGGCGGCCCTCGGGTTGGTGCAGAGGCCACTCCAGGGGGTGGCTTTGGCCTCTTCCCACCTCGCCGCCCACCCTCCTCAGGCTCAGGGGTGCCTCGGCTCCGGGCATTCTCCCGGGACCGCGTGGCCATGCGACTGTGCGGAGGGGGGTCTGCCTGGCTGCCCCGGCCTC